CGAGCTCGTCACAGCCCGGCCGGCGGCAATGCAGACCACTTCGCTCCTGCTGCCCATTGATGAGCTATCCAACACCCCCTCGCTGGCCTATAGCGTGAACAGCGTCCAGGAGGACAGCCTCGATGGCCAGCATTCGGATGACTCGGGCATCTCGGTCTTTTCGCAGAGCAACAACAACCTCCAGGCCAAGAAGTAGCAGCAGCCGCTCAAGCCGACCGTGGGCACACGCCAGGAGCAGCGTTACATTGGACCCAGCTGCTACAACATGACACCGGAGCCGCCGCAGCAGAAGCTCATCACCAGGACCATTTCCATGCCGCAGCTGAGCGGCCTGCCCTACCAAGGGTGTGATGCAGCGGGTTGTGGCCTTCCATGGCAAGCTGGTGACCCCCAATGGTCCCCACCCAAGTCCCCTGCCGCCCGTCACGCCATTGGGCAAGATCAGCAGCTCAGGGAGCCATCAGAATGGAAGTCAGCAGCAACAGCAACACCCTCAAGCTGAACACACGCACGGCGTTGGTATTCCTGGAGAACGGCAACTCGCCAACGGGCGAGACTCGGAGGGCAGGCCGTTGCGACGAGGCTATGTGGCCGTCGAGCAGAAGATCCAGCAGGAGCTGCAGGACACCAAGTCGCGGGAGAAGGAGCTGAAGCTGCTGCGCAAGATTAACAGGCAGAACACACTGAAGGCTTCGCTGGACAAGCTGTGAGTACACGTCAAGGCTTTCAAGAATCCTCTTTTAATCTTACGTTTTTTCGTATCCAGCTAGCTAAGCACAGACGACGAGGCCGTTGAGGACTCTGAGGTGGAGCACTGCTATGGACCAATGGCAGCATTAATGGGATGCGTCCGGCCATGTCGCTGGCCCAGCTCTGTGATCTGACGCCCAAGAGGCGCCCTCATCGAGAGGCCTCATTGCCCAGTGGAAAAGCCTGATCAAGAACCGTTATGCAGTGTGCCCAGTTCATTATCACTACTCTTATGTCGAAGTCTGACCGCCTTGACTTTCCGCTGGTTGCCTGCAGCCATGTGCAACAGCGACGATCAGTGACGATGTACGGCATTGCAGCATTGACTATCGATTGCTGGCATGCCGCCATACGCAGCTTTGAATATCGATTGCTGGCAGCTTTGACATCATACGTTTTAGGTTATGGTAAATGCACTCAGGAGCAGCCACAGGATCAGGATGAGCTGGATCAAGACCAGGGCGAGCTCGTCACAGCCCGGCCGGCGGCAATGCAGACCACTTCGCTCCTGCTGCCCATTGATGAGCTATCCAACACCCCCTCGCTGGCCTATAGCGTGAACAGCGTCCAGGAGGAGAGCCTCGATGGCCAGCATTCGGATGACTCGGGCATCTCGGTCTTTTCGCAGAGCAACAACAACCTCCAGGCCAAGAAGTAGCAGCAGCCGCTCAAGCCGACCGTGGGCACACGCCAGGAGCAGCGTTACATTGGACCCAGCTGCTACAACATGACACCGGAGCCGCCGCAGCAGAAGCTCATCACCAGGACCATTTCCATGCCGCAGCTGAGCGGCCTGCCCTACCAAGGGTGTGATGCAGCGGGTTGTGGCCTTCCATGGCAAGCTGGTGACCCCCAATGGTCCCCACCCAAGTCCCCTGCCGCCCGTCACGCCATTGGGCAAGATCAGCAGCTCAGGGAGCCATCAGAATGGAAGTCAACAGCAACAGCAACACCCTCAAGCTGAACACACGCACGGCGTTGGTATTCCTGGAGAACGGCAACTCGCCAACGGGCGAGACTCGGAGGGCAGGCCGTTGCGACGAGGCTATGTGGCCGTCGAGCAGAAGATCCAGCTGGAGCTGCAGGACACCAAGTCGCGGGAGAAGGAGCTGAAGCTGCTGCGCAAGATTAACAGGCAGAACACACTGAAGGCTTCGCTAGACAAGCTGTGAGTACACGTCAAGGCTTTCAAGAATCCTCTTTTAATCTTACGTTTTTTCGTATCCAGCTAGCTAAGCACAGACGACGAGGCCGTTGAGGACTCTGAGGTGGAGCACTGCTATGGACCAATGGCAGCATTAATGGGATGCGTCCGGCCATGTCGCTGGCCCAGCTCTGTGATCTGACGCCCAAGAGGCGCCCTCATCGAGAGGCCTCATTGCCCAGTGGAAAAGCCTGATCAAGAACCGTTATGCAGTGTGCCCAGTTCATTATCACTACTCTTATGTCGAAGTCTGACCGCCTTGACTTTCCGCTGGTTGCCTGCAGCCATGTGCAACAGCGACGATCAGTGACGATGTACGGCATTGCAGCATTGACTATCGATTGCTGGCATGCCGCCATACGCAGCTTTGAATATCGATTGCTGGCAGCTTTGACATCATACGTTTTAGGTTATGGTAAATGCACTCAGGAGCAGCCACAGGATCAGGATGAGCTGGATCAAGACCAGGGCGAGCTCGTCACAGCCCGGCCGGCGGCAATGCAGACCACTTCGCTCCTGCTGCCCATTGATGAGCTATCCAACACCCCCTCGCTGGCCTATAGCGTGAACAGCGTCCAGGAGGAGAGCCTCGATGGCCAGCATTCGGATGACTCGGGCATCTCGGTCTTTTCGCAGAGCAACAACAACCTCCAGGCCAAGAAGTAGCAGCAGCCGCTCAAGCCGACCGTGGGCACACGCCAGGAGCAGCGTTACATTGGACCCAGCTGCTACAACATGACACCGGAGCCGCCGCAGCAGAAGCTCATCACCAGGACCATTTCCATGCCGCAGCTGAGCGGCCTGCCCTACCAAGGGTGTGATGCAGCGGGTTGTGGCCTTCCATGGCAAGCTGGTGACCCCCAATGGTCCCCACCCAAGTCCCCTGCCGCCCGTCACGCCATTGGGCAAGATCAGCAGCTCAGGGAGCCATCAGAATGGAAGTCAACAGCAACAGCAACACCCTCAAGCTGAACACACGCACGGCGTTGGTATTCCTGGAGAACGGCAACTCGCCAACGGGCGAGACTCGGAGGGCAGGCCGTTGCGACGAAGCTATGTGGCCGTCGAGCAGAAGATCCAGCTGGAGCTGCAGGACACCAAGTCGCGGGAGAAGGAGCTGAAGCTGCTGCGCAAGATTAACAGGCAGAACACACTGAAGGCTTCGCTAGACAAGCTGTGAGTACACGTCAAGGCTTTCAAGAATCCTCTTTTAATCTTACGTTTTTTCGTATCCAGCTAGCTAAGCACAGACGACGAGGCCGTTGAGGACTCTGAGGTGGAGCACTGCTATGGACCAATGGCAGCATTAATGGGATGCGTCCGGCCATGTCGCTGGCCCAGCTCTGTGATCTGACGCCCAAGAGGCGCCCTCATCGAGAGGCCTCATTGCCCAGTGGAAAAGCCTGATCAAGAACCGTTATGCAGTGTGCTCAGTTCATTATCACTACTCTTTTGTCGAAGTCTGACCGCCTTGACTTTCCGCTGGTTGCCTGCAGCCATGTGCAACAGCGACGATCAGTGACGATGTACGGCATTGCAGCATTGACTATCGATTGCTGGCATGCCGCCATACGCAGCTTTGAATATCGATTGCTGGCAGCTTTGACATCATACGTTTTAGGTTATGGTAAATGCACTCAGGAGCAGCCACAGGATCAGTATGAGCTGGATCAAGACCAGGGCGAGCTCGTCACAGCCCGGCCGGCGGCAATGCAGACCACTTCGCTCCTGCTGCCCATTGATGAGCTATCCAACACCCCCTCGCTGGCCTATAGCGTGAACAGCGTCCAGGAGGACAGCCTCGATGGCCAGCATTCGGATGACTCGGGCATCTCGGTCTTTTCGCAGAGCAACAACAACCTCCAGGCCAAGAAGTAGCAGCAGCCGCTCAAGCCGACCGTGGGCACACGCCAGGAGCAGCGTTACATGACACCGGAGCCGCCGCAGCAGAAGCTCATCACCAGGACCATTTCCATGCCGCAACTGAGCGACCTGCCCTACCAAGGGTGTGATGCAGCGGGTTGTGGCCTTCCATGGCAAGCTGGTGACCAAGCAGTAGCAGCAGCCGCTCAAGCCGACCGTGGTCACACGCCAGGAGCAGCGTTACATTGGATACCGGAGCCGCCGCAGCAGAAGCTCATCACTAGGACCATTTCCATGCCGCAGCTGAGCGGCTTGCCTCAGAAACGTCAGTTTGCCTTCAGTGGTGCGTCTTCCAAGGGCGTGATGCAGCGGTTTATGGCCTCCCAAGGCAAGCTGGCCAAAATCAAAAACATTTTTCCCTGCCGGAGATAGGTAGAAAGATTCCCCTGTTGATGCTGATTATTTATAGTGTCGAAAATTACTCTTTCACATTGTTACAACCTTCTGACTAAAATTAAAAATTAGCAAACAGCTTTCAGTAAGGTGCTCTATAAGCCGATTAATAGCCGCCAAATTTGAACTCAAATTTGAATTACGAGTTTCCGCCAAGGTTCTGCACTGTAGTATATTTAACGACATTCTGGCAGCCCTTTAGTATTTATTTCGACAGCCAGGCACCACTTGGACTGGGAACAGTTTTGAGGCTGGTTTGTATCTTAGCTGTGGGAACAGTTTTTGTCTGGGTTGCTAATAAATACTGTAGGGTTGCCAGACTGACGTAAAAATACTGCTGGGCATATGCGAGCTGCCAGATCGATGAAATGAGAATGACTTGCACTTTTTCTTTTTTATAACAGTTTATAACAGCTCGGAGTTACTATCTACTGCCTTCTGTTGGCCTGGTGCATTTGAGGGAATTTAGAAACGCGGCGGCTCAACAGCCGCCAGTGATGCTGATCTAGCTATTTTGCACTATTGGGAGAAAATGGCATCTGACTAGCATAATAGATAATTTTCTAGCTATTTTGCACTACTGGGAAAAATTACATCAGCCTTGCATTCGACGTGCTGATCTAGCTATTTTGCAGCATATGAATTTGTTACCCTTCCCTTATTGTTTTAGTTTTCAGTTGTTTTTATATACATTATTAAATAAAGTTACATCAATTTAACTACAAACTACAAATACATTTTAGATGCTGTAAAAAAAATAATTAAATAACAAATATAAATAGCTGTGTTGGGGATGCATTAATAACAATACTATAAATAAAATACAAATTGTTCCTGCCGCAGCTATAAAGCCGCTATAAAAACAACACATCATGGAGCAAGAAGCTAGTACCATAGATGGGGCACAAGCAAGCTTGTTCTGCTTGTTTTAAGCGGGAATTTACAAAATCTTAACATAAAACGAATTAAATTCATGGATTAGCTACTTACACGGCAAAGTAGCATGTGATTAAGCAGCTACTACTAACTCGGAAGTCAAATTGGATAATTAGGTGTAATTAAATTAACAAAAAAAAATTACGAAAGCTAGAAGAATTCTAATCACTGCAGTAATTGGAACGCAGGACATTCTCGGCGCCTGCCAGAATAGCGCCCTCGTGCTGCGGACAAAGCTTCAGGTAGAGTTCGCTGGACTCCATTGCCTCGATCAGCACGTACTCGAGGTAGATCCTTGGCGAGGACAGGATGCGCCAGGTGAGGGGATTCAGGATGCTGGTTGGATACTCCCAGTTCACGATTGCGTACTCCGGCTCCCGTACGTCTCGTCCCGCCACCAGAGCCTTATACTCGTAGCCCGGCTCAAAGTACATGGCCTTCGGCGAGAATCGCATCAGTTCCGTGGCCGAGGCATCTGTTCGCTTGCCGATCGCATTGCCGCTCTTCTTGCCGTGCAGCTGGACCGAGAGGATGCCCACCTCGCCGCCGTGTAGGGTGCTCTCGTCGTGGCCCGACACACGGACCGTGATCCTGTAGTGCAGCCGGCAGAAGGGCGCCCGGTCGCCGGTGGTCAGGAAAAAGACGCCGGGTGAATCGCCCTGTTGCATCTGGCCGAGATCCACCTGCTCCTGGTAGTCCTCCTGGCTGTGGTAACCCATGCGCAGGCAGGTGTGGCCCGGCTCCTCGCAGCTGGTGCACTTGGTGTCCTTGAAGCTCTGTAGAGGAAAGAAATATGATATTAAATCAATAGGACCTCCAGTTTTTGTGCTCCTCTCACTCACCTCAAAGGAATCACAGGTGATGCCCAGGAACGGGCACTTGGAGCCGATGCTCTCCGTGAAATACTGCTGGCTCCGGATGTGGTTGCAGCCGAGGAACTCCTGCATGGTCAGGAAGAGGGTCTTTTTCTTGACCACGTCCTGGAACTTCTTGTTGCAGCCGGGATTATCGAAGCCGCCGTTGGGAAAGAAGTCGACATGTCCCAGCCGCATATTAATGCCCAGTCCGCCCTTCATCAGCGGATTGGCATCGGTGTGCACTATGTCCACGAAGTGGGCGTCCGTCTTGTCCAGCCGCACGATGGGATCGGTGTCGGTGAAGAGCGGCGCAGCCGGGTCCAGGCCCGTTATCCTGGCCGCCTTCAGGCCAAAGTCGCGCTGCAGATGATAGCCCGCATAGCCGGATAGATGGGCTCCAAGGGAGTGGCCAATGATGTGGACATTGTCCAGATTGGGCAGTCGCAGCTCCTCGTACAGCATATGGACCACATGCGCCGTAATGGCACCCACCAGCCGGATATTGGCCACCGCCTGGACATATGGAGGACTGGCGCCGCCGCCCCAATCGATGAGCACGGCACAGGCACTGCCCTCCGGCTCGTACGCGAGCAGGGCTTTGGCCATGTCCCACATCCAGGGTATCTCGCCCGATTCCAGGTAGCCGTGGACCAGCAGGAAGATCTTGCCGCGCGGATCGATGCCCATGCCCTGGACGCTGTCCGGATCGTTGAGATCCAGGTATTTGGGCTGGTCCAGTTGCCGGCGCGTGTGCAGCGTGAAGTGAGGCTCGATCTCCGAGGGCTTCTGCGGGTGGACGTTGATCGATCGGGTCACCGTGTTCCAGGGTCCATTCAGGGGGAAGCAGCCGTAGACGCCGAAGCACTTTACCTCGTTGATATCTGGCGGGGATTAGAAGTTAAAAAAGGTATTAGCATGGGTATTTAAGCTTTAAAAATAACCTAAAAACCTGGAAACTTCTTTTATAAAATACCTATAATTATATATAATGGTTAATTTAATTAATTAATTATGTATTTGCATCGAGAAACATGTCAGTTAGAACCGTTTTGGTCTGCTTATCAGTTCAGCCAACTGGAAAAACTTCAATAACAAGCCAAGAAATCATAATTGAATCACATTCTGAAGGGTTTTTGGCCAGTTTTTGACCACAGCTGAGGGCCATTAAGGGTTCCAGTGAGCCGTGAAGACCTCTAGAAGGCTCCCTTTGCTGGCCACCAGAGCATGGATAGCCACTGATCGGTGGCCAGTGTCGTCTTCGTTTTGATTTCTTTATCGTGGCCTGGTGGCTCTCTTTGGCATCTGCTTTCGCCTTCCGTTTGCATCGGAAGTTTTCGATAAGATAGACTAGTACTATGGATATATGGCGATATATCCATATCACATATCGCCATATTATAGCATTTGCGATGCCGGACGGGGCACGTCATTAGCCCCGGGACCCTCATTTCCAAAGCAAATCGAAAAGCTGCTTCCGCACCTGTTACACAGAAAGAAATTGGCAGCTTGTCTTAAGGAAAATACCTCAAACGGCATCTAAAGATATTATATCTAAATTAAAATTTTATAGCAATTTTTATGTAAACTAAGACTGATTAGAATTTGTATTTAATTAGTTTAGATTATGTTTTAAACAAAATCAAAAGATATTGTTAAAATATGTGTTAATAAATGTAATTAACGCTTGCATTTTAACTTTGGAAATAACTCTTTTGGGTATTTTGCGAAATTATGTTATAATTTATTAAATTTAGTTCTCTATACTTTTTTTTTAGTGCTGCTAATGTTGGTTTCCATCGACTTGAGGGCAGAGCTTTCCCTAACGCCCAGCACCTGGGCAAAGAATGCCCCGAAAAAAAGCCCAATAACTGTTTTTGCTTGGCACACACACTCAACGAGAAAAACCACTTAGAGATCAGAGCTGAGGAAGCCCCAAATTGGAGGCTAGTGGCCCTAACTGGGCCTAAAACACACACAACTGCGGCCAAAATAAATAGTTCCTAACCAAGCGCTAAATTGAGAAATATATAAATTACTCCATAAATTTACTTTTTAAATGAATTAATAATAATAATCATTGCAACTTTAGGAAGGCATTAATTTTATAGTTTTAAATTGCCTCTAGGATAACTGAGATATTTTAAAAATGGACTAAAAATTAGGTATTATGATATTGGTTCGGCATCGTGTATTACTTACCGCTTTTGGGGGCTGGTGGCAGATCGACGAGGGTGTTCACCGCCGCCCGGCTGGTGTGATTGGCCAGGTACAACATGGTTTGCAGCATCAGGCCGCCGGTGGTGTTGGCCACGTACATCCTTGGTTGCTTCGCGTTCACTCTTTGCACATATGTATTAAAGTACGTCGGGGGTTCTCAACTGACGACCGATAATGGCCACAAATCACTGGCCACTCGAGTTGGGCTATTATCTAAGGCTAAGACCTGGTCGGGTTATGTCTTGATTGTTGGCTCTTCGTTAGCTTTAATTAAGTATTCTTTCGGGCCCTAGTTTAATCTTATCGACGGAGTGTTGAATGGCGAGTGTCTCTTTCACGAGTGTGTTGTCTTGTCGCGGGTCCCGTTACTTTCTGGCCCTCTATGGATGTGCCTGCTCTATCTTGCTCCGTTACTATCTAGCGACGCTTTTATATATATAGTCCGCCGATCTTAGTCGTCTGAGTACCGCTGCAGAACTGAGCGGATCAGCTGCGATCCGGTCAATATTTAAACAAAGCGCCGTTGGGCGAAAGCGAAACCAAAGCCGAAGTCAAAGCTTCGGCGAGGCAGCGAAAAGCGCATCCGAAGCTGCAGTCAAAGTTTATGACATAGTGCTGGCAGCTTGGCAGTTTTGCTGCCCGAAATAGCTAGCTTATGGGGTTAAAGTTTAGACTGGTGGTAAAGCTTTAAATTTAAATTTTCGGAAAATAAAATACTATTCTTAGCAGCGTTTTTACATACTATAAATTATTTACTTAAATATTCATTTAAGTAAGAATATTTCAGGGGAAACCTAAGCTCAAAGAATTTAATAAGCCGACTTAACTACTTTGGCACTTGACTTGAACAGAGCTGGCGCTGCATTTGTCCCTGAGCCGCAGTAGCTGAGCTCTGATAAGGCCACAAAAATTGAGAGATTTTCGCCCAGTGTAGATGCAAAGTACAGCAGCAGCTGGTTGCATCGGGGCTCTTCTTTGTTGAATCGGATGCACCTTCATGATAAGCAGAGACACAACAAAGTGACCGCCATGGAGGCAGAGCTGATAATCGGTCGGGTTGGGGTTCGGGTTCCATTCCCATATATAATATAAATATATACTTATTTGTATGTAGGGTCAGGAATAGCAACAGACACAGAGAGACCCCCTTGGACTATCAGCAGCTGTTTTCCACCAAGCGGCTATTAAGCACAGAAAGAAAAGCGCAATGACAGCAAAATTACAATTTTTTGCGTTATTTTTTAGTGCTTAAAAACATTGTCTTTTTCTAAATTCAATATTCATAAATTTAACTGAGAGCAGAGATTTTTTTTAACCCGAATTTAAGGCCTATAAGATCTATTTTTTAAGTTTAGAATTTGTTTGGAGACTAACCCTGTTCAGTTTATCAAATAACCTTCTATTTATTATATTAACAGCTTATGATTCATAGAAAATATTTGTGTATTTTTATACCCTTGGAAAGGGTATTTTAACTTTAGTCAGAAGCTCAAAACGCTGTGAAGGAATCATTTCCGACCCCATAAATCATATATATTCTTGATCAGGATCAACATGGAAATCTTTCCAGCTATCTCCGGAAAGGAACAAAATTTTTCAAAAATTTCCCGTTTTTGCAAAAAAGGAAAGGGGTTACATCATTAAAATTGTCAAAAATTGGCTTAAATTTGAAATTTTTGTTCATTTCAAACTGAGAATGCCGATTTGTCAACCTTTTAAAAACTAGCTTAGGACAGCTTTCCGAATTAAAATTATTGCCTTTTTGGCTGAGTTATGCGATTTTTAATCTTTAATTCTTCGCAAAAATTTGCATATCAAATTATCCGACGTTAGGTTCCCTTCTTGTTAATTTGAATATTAAACCCATATGATTATAGTGATAAGCAACCAGAATTTTAAGATTATCAATTAGTTTTATGATCCCTATGATCTCTATGACTCTTTTGATTTCCATTCCCCATTATTTCTCACTGTGTTGGCTGCTAAACGAGAGGTGGAGATTCCTCTAGAAAGTGTGTCAATCCCCCAGGCCAGCCCCCTTGGCAGGTGGTGTCAATGTCTGGTCAGTATTCCCATTCCCGATTCCCGCTTGGGCACGCGTTATCAGTGATCTCTCTGACAGAATCCCGTTTCGCTTTCGAGGCGTCCAAAGTCCGGACTGCGGCCTGGGGCATGTGGATTACGGAGAAGGTGTTTACGATCGATTCCACCAGGATCTCGAATGCCGCCGCCCATTGACGTCAAAGTGATCATCGATTTCAGCCAGCAGACAGCCGAGGGTGTGGCCTTTCGGTGTCCATCGTTATCATTTCGCATTATTCTTGTTTTTGTTTACCACATTCTTGGGCATCCGTCCTCCGGAGCCACCCACTGGAAACTAGGAGATAACTAGAGGCAATCCAATAGTTCAGAATCCCCTAGAAATTCCCACTTCCGCGTGGTAGCAACAGATCTAAATCCCTATTTCTATCTCTACCTCTCTCCCTCCAAACGATAAGCATCGATCTTTGATACCGAGAATCGATTCCGGTTCAAAAATCCACACTTGCATAGTCCACACACTGACCTGCAAGTGTCGAGGTTTTAATGGGAAAATTACCCAAAAATTGCAAGGTAATTTTAATTACCAATTGTTAATTACAAACTTGCAAATAAAACTATATCAAACTATAAATCATGGCTTGAAAACCAAAGAAGACTATCCGCAAGATAAGGTTTTTAGCTTGAATTGAATTGAATTTCCCCTCTAGGTTATTTACTTAAAATTAACTATTATTATAAATCAATATTATTAATTTTATGCAGGTCAGTGGCAGTATTTTTACGCCATACTGACGCACAAAATATTTTGTTTACAGCATCGGGAGAATCCGGTAATCGAAATCGGGACTCTATTTACGTGTGCGGTTACACATATAGATTATGGGTTGAAAAATAGAAAGTACACAATCGGGAATCGGAATATATATGCATATTGAATAACAATTTCTGGAAATAACACAGGCCCCCAAGGAGATTATTGTTTACACTGGTCAATGCGATCGGCGTCAGATCGATTTCAAAGAGTACAAAGTACAGAAAGTCCTACCCAAACAACATTGTAACTTCTTAGTTCCCAAACTGAACTTGGAACTCAAAAGAAGCTTAAATTATATTATTCAAGTAATATTTCAAGTAATTTAAAGAAAATTATATATAATATAGAGAATATTAGTCTAATCTGGTGTTTTTGGCACACAAAGTAAACATTAATTTGTGTCAAGCGAAAACTGGGTCAATGCTCATTAGAAAATTGAAATATATAGAATTTAAAAAGATAAAAAGGTTTAAGTAAGGTTCTTTAAGCATAGAATAAATTAATTTTGACCACCAAATATATTTCATATGAGTATATATTACTTTTTTTTATCAAAATTTAAAGAAATACAACTTATTACACCAGTCATTGTGTTTTAGTTTTGAACAAACTTTCAGTATTATTATTTATTTGCTAGAAAACAAATTTTAGCGTAGAATTAAAGTAGAATTATGGCAGATCTAGTATAAAGAGGACATTATTTGGTTATGGCAGACTGTACTTCGGCATTTCAATATTCGATAGAGCTGGCCAAGATTGATTATCTTCTCGATTTATCAATGTTCTTAATAAACTTTTGAAATAGAAAATATATTGAAATCTTTAAACCTTTGCCAGCTCTATAAGCTCCTATCTTAGTGATTCGTTTGATTTTGGATTCGAAAATAGGTATAAAAGAATATCGTGAATTCACGTACCTGGCACAGGGATATTATGGGCTAGAAATGGCACTTAGGATTAAGCTCAGCATACAACTAGTTTAACATAGGGCAGAGCATCCGGGATCCGGAAATGGGATTACTCGGTGCGCTGCATAATCATCTCGATCTTGTCTCCAGCGGCGGCAATTAGCGGAACAGTCAGGCAGCAGTCAAAATCCTGCGTTTTCATTTCATTTACCTGGAGGAGGAGCAGAATATCGTAATATATAGGAAATATAGGAAAAATCTATGGCTACCCACCTGCATGATGCGATCAAAGGGCTTGAGCAGACCACACATATCCGCTGGACCGCCACTCCGGATGCGGTTGATGAAGACCCCCCGCTCGTACAGACCATCCGAGACAGAGAACCCGTAGTCATCGTACACTTTGTCCTTGTACAGGGTCACATGGAAGATTCGTGGCTTGCCATTTCCACTACCATTACCATTTGTGTTCCCACTTCCATTCGCATTGCTGTTATTGTTATTTGACTCCTTGCTGGCCTCTGTGTTGGCCGAGGGACTACGTGGACGTCTCTGGACCTTGGCATAAATGGCCTGCGTCTGGGGGAGAAGGTGACTGCCTCCACCGCCGCTGCCACTGCCATTGGCCAGGTCATGACTGCGCAGGATCTTCAGGTCGACCAGCTCCCCGAGATTCTGGAGAAGACTGGTGGCATGCGAGAGTGGCATGCCCTGCACCGAGTGCTCATCAATGGCCAGCAATTGGTCGCCCACATGGATCTGGCCATTCTTGTGGGCAATGCCACCTGGTATGGGGGAAAAATATGATTTACTCATCAATGAAGTCAAATAGAGACTCAAACTCACCTTCTACCAGACCACTGATGGTGATGGGCTTGGTAATATCCTCGCTGCCGGCCAGGGTGATGCCCAGCAGTCCACCCTTGGGCTCCAGCCGAACCGTAAAGATGATCTGATGCAAACTGCTCCCGCTGCTCTTGCTGCTCGAACTGGCCGCCGAACCATAGACCTTGCTCTCCATTGGCGGCGGCAGGGCAGTGCAGTCCACGCTAAGGATAGGGATAACATGATTAGTACTTCTGTTTACTACCTCTTTCTGACCAGTTACTAACCTGGCATAGCGATTCAACTCATAGCCGGGATAGAGCTGCTCCTGCTCATCCTCCTCCTCGGGCAGCTCGGTGGTGAGACTCTGCGTATTCGGCGGGGACACGAAGGACCGACTGTTGCTGGCATTGGGCCAGCCATTGCTTTGACCTGGTCCCACTCCCGTTCCCGGTCCATGTCTTAGCTGTACAGACTGCAGGCTGGCATCATCCATGCTGGGCACCCGAAAGTAATCCGGCTGCGGTGTGCGTGACTTGAGGGAGACACAGTCGGCATACTTTCCAGGCGAAGTCACATAGGCGCTGCTGTAGAGGTCGTGATCCCCGCCAGAAGAAGCCAATCCCAGTCCCAGACCCACTGGGGGACAGTTGCTGTAGATGGGACTGGACATGGGCAGGAAGTCGGGCAGCACGACCCGCTTGATGGTGAGCGTGGTGAAATCAGAGTTGCTGTTGTGCGGACCGCGTCCCTCCTCCTTGAGCAGGGCATCTACATTAAAGTGCTGCACAGGATGCTGGTCCACGGCCAGCAGGATGTCACCAGAGCGCAGGGAACCACTACGATGGGCCGGACTGCCCATCTTAACATCCGCAATGACCAGGCCGCCATGGCTGGACCCACTGACACTCAATCCGAGGCCACATTTTCCGGCGCGCAGAAGCTTCACGCTGAACACACCGCTGGAGGGCACCACGGCGTCCGGCATATCGAACTCGATCTCCAGCTCCAGCCAGTTAGCGGGAGCTGCGACTCCTCCTCCTCCACGATTGGCGGAACCTCCTTCTAGCAATTGCCGCATGGCCGCCGCATCTAAACTGTACATCTTGTTGATGGCCACGATGCGATCTCCGGCTTGGATGCAGCCACTGCGATCCGCCACAGAGTCGGTCAGGATCTGAGCAATGGTCACTGCACCAGCTCCAGCTGCTGAGCCAGTTGCTGGTCCCGTTCCGGTTTGGTTTCCAATGGCATCTGCCAGGATAATGCCCGCTCCGTGGCTGCAGTCGAGGAGCACGGGAAAGCTTTCCGCCCGGCAAAGGCCCAGACCCATACCCAGGTTGCTGCTGCTGTTGGTTCCTCCTCCCGCCGTTACTGGAGTGGCTGAAGTTGCTCCCGACATGGGTCCCTCCAGCGGCAGGGAGCTCTTCCGGGCGAATCTCTGGCGCTGGCGACCCGCTGTCGATTTGCGGGATTCCAGAGTGCTAAAGCTGTACTTGGGACTGCCCAGAGCCGTGTGACCTGGGAATATATTTGAAATATATTAATTTATAATTAAATAATAGGAAGAAATAAATAATTTGTAAAGGTTTTAAATAAAAGCACTTAAAAAACTAAGGACTCCTGCTCTTCCTTTCGATGGATAAGTGTCCCTGCCTTTAATCACAGCTCCCTTCCTATATTTAATGGAAGCTTTTAAGACCTTTTTAGCCTGTCCACATCCACATCCAAAGTGACTGATCCGCAGCTTAGCTGATCCCAGCTGCGTGTCCTCTGCCGCCTTCACAATTTATGGCATCCATCTCCTCCTCCTCGTACTCTTCCTCCTCCACTAGTTGGTTCTATATTTTATTTGGTTCGTACTTGGATCCGGATTTGGCTTCGATCGATTGTCAGGAGGGGAGAATGATCTTGTGACGATTTTTTCGGCTCTTTCGGTGCTTTTCTGCCTTTGGAATGTGCGCCACGCTGCGTGTTTGCTTAACAAATGGAGGGAGGAACTGGGAAAATCAATTGATTGGCTGCAGCGAGGGTGGATCGAGGAGAAATTGCCACACACAGAACATAAAACTAAGAGAAATATATAGTACAAATTGGAGAAATTGTATTGGGAAACTGCAGATTAAAGTGCTTGTTAGGCTAACTAATAAAAACCTGAAGGAAATGTTAAGGGAATTATCACAAATTGATGGCTGAGAAAATCTGTCTTCCAAGCTTGACTTGTTATCTTTCGATTATCCTTTAAAACTAACTGCAGGATAGAGTGTTTGTTAAATTACATATTTTATATTAAAGATGTAGAATTTATGTACTTATTTATGTACGATTTCATTAATCAGATATTACAGGAAAAACATTAAACAAATTGAATAGTAAAGCTTCTTTTTCAGATCAATTACGTTTAACTTGAGTGTCTCCTAAATTAAACATTAAACTAAACGTTTCATAGTTGTTTACTTAATGTTTCTTTTATGTTAAAAGGAGCCAATATGGATTATAATAAATACCTTTAAGCTGGGCTCTAACTTCTTTAAGATTTAATTATTTTAACTGGGTCTAACTAATAGCTAAACCTGTTTTTAAATTCCATGTGCCTCTGTTTCTGTTGTTACTCTAACTATTAGATCACACCTCGCTCTATACTATATAAGGCCTGGCGTCTCTATTGTTTCAGTCGCTGTCTTGGTTGTGGATTTGGTTGTGGATGTGGATGTGGCTGCCATAGCATCGACTTCTGTGTGGACGCGACTGTTCATTAGCCGTGACGCCCACGCCAGACCTTCGACGCGCCGTTCGGGAGCCTGGCTACGTTGGCCTTGTGGGGTTCGCTTCGTCTCACAGATTGCCACCGTAAGATAGCCAAAAACAAAGAACAACTAAATTCAAATGGAGCTGGCGGGGATCTGGGGCACTAGAGTAGCCATAGACATCGACTTACCGCGGCGGGCCAGCGCATGAGCTGGCATGATCTGCATCTGTGTGTAACCGCGACCCGTGCCGGTGTCCAATATGGTCATCACCTCGTCGGGACTGAAGGCGGTGTGCTCGATCATGGTGTCATCGATGGAGAGCACCTGATCGCCAACGGATAAGGCGCCGCAACTGTAACGAGGGGTAACCGTGAGAATGAGCTTGAGACTGACCGAAGGTTAGTAATCCTTACCGATCCGCAATGCTGGCTGGCAGGATGCTGGCTATGAATACCCCTGCAGACTCTTCTATCTTCTCGGGGACACTGCTGGGTGGCGTACTCGATCCAGAACCAGAGGCAGCCACCGCAGGTGTGTAGTTGCAAAGGACCAGACCCAACTTGTCGTTCATCGGACGCTCGATCTCAATGAGCAGTGGTCCCATCGAGAACTCGACGCTCTGCACCACAGAGACATCATACTCGATGGTCAGGTTGGTATAGCCAGAGACATGGCCACCGCATTTGATGATCTGCTGGGCCTCCGCCAAGGTCTTACCTATCAGTGAGACCTAAGGAGACGGGAAACGATGAAGTTGTAAGAAATGGAAAACGGAAACGGAAATGGAAGTGTCAGTGTCACTCACATTATCGACGCGCAGCAGCCGGTCGCCGGGCTTGATGCGTCCGGTCTTGTAGACGGGTCCATGGGGCCGAACATGGGTGACGATCAGCGGGTAGTCGGCACCACCTCGCAGCGTTAGACCTAGGCAGCCGCTTTCCCGCTCCACAGTGATCTGTGCCAGCTTCGAGGTCACACACAGGCTGTTCTGGGAAACTGCTAAAGAGAGGCGGCCATCGTAAGCAGGAGGAGGAGATGGAGGAGGATTGCTTGGGCAATACTTACTGTATTCGGGCAGCGAGTATTCAATCTCCACAATGGCGGGGCCCGATTCCGCTCCTCCAGAGCAAAGCATATTCATTACCTTCTGGTTACTCAAACCAATTGTGGAGATGCCATCGATCTGATGGAGGCGATCGCCGGGCGCCAGGAAGTCCGCCGCATGGCCCACGGGACTCAGAGCACCCACCACCGGCGGATATGACAGATCGTTGCGTTCTAGGAAGAGTAATAGAAAAGGTGGATTCATTATTATATCACATTATATACTCTTTACTTGATTTTCCAACCTCTTGGATTTAATTAAAGCTTCTCCTGTGTTGGAATATGTAGTGTTTTGCCCCCTTTTTCATTTGGATTTTCTTTGCCAGCGACTCTGTCAGCGACTCGTCAGCCAACGCAATGAAATCGAGGGGAAATCGGGTGGATAACCAGGAGGGAAATTGTACAAAATCGCAAGAAAAATCAAGGGGAAAAGGGGGAAAACAACAGCACGTAAATAAAGAAATCGGGTAAAAAAAGCGCCAAGACGGACAGTAGTTTGGGGCCAGCCGCAATGAGAGCACAACTGGCGAATTGCCAAAAAAGAAAAATAACAGAAAAACTAGCCGCCAAAAAAAGAAGAGAAACCCCATAAGAAAAGCTAAGAAAATAGTAGGAAAATGATGGGGGAAAACCGAACCGTCGCGACGCTTTATGACAACACACACATCACACTCTTTTCCCCCACTTTCCTGGTAAATAATATTAATAATAATAATGATGGTTCGAGGGTCGGTTGGTAACAGAATTACGTCAGTCGAGTGCTAGGGGGAGAGGGGGAGAGAGTTGGGGTTAAGGGTTAACCTCCCCCGTTGGAATAAGTGACTTTTGGCCTGGACTTCACACCACAAATGTCGCCAAATTCACATCGCGCGGCAGATTAGTCAAGAGTACAAAATCCGAATGCGACTTGGACTTTATATTCTGATTCAGACAAAATCCGTCACACCCACAGCAGAGGTCAAGAGAATAGTGGAGAGGAGCAATTCTTACTCTAAATTTATTATGATTATTAAATATTAATGAAGAGATGAAGCATGAAGCATGAAGCATGGATGCATGAAGGTTTCAAGCTAGAAATAGATACTTTAGGCCAAGGTTTCCTTGTATCTTTCAGTGATATAAGTTTCCTTAATATAAAATGATAACAATTCTTCAATATTTAAGCTCTCAAACTTGCTGTTTTTAAAATCTTGACCTCTTGTGTGGTTCGCCTACGTGGTGCATACTCATTATTATGTCTGGCATCAGACCCCGTCCCGCCTTCTGGGGGTGGGCTTCTCTCTAGATTGGAACGATGATTTATTTTGGCAGCGACAACAGCAGACGGAGACTACAAAATACAGACGGATTCAGAGACGGAAAGACGGAGACGTAGCCAGAGATTTGGACGGAGACGTAGCCGGAGACGAAGACGTAGCCCGGGGGAGCAACGACAGGCATTATCGACGGCGACAGAGACGCGTTCCGCATTCAAATCGAATGATTCCGGGGACCGGCCCACATTGTCTGGCGATCGGCAGTCTATAGCTTTGGCCATATAGCTCTGGTATATATACAAATATATATTCTTTTGCAGAGGAAACCACCCCAAAAGAGGCATCAGAGGGGGCAGCCAGCCGACCATCATGGACCCGACCCCATCGACATAGCAATAAATCAATGCTTAGCCCAAGAAATTAGTACTTTCGGTTGATAGATACGACTGGCTATATATTCCCCACAAATATATTCCATAATGGGATAAGATATACAGATATTCCATATTCCCCATATGTATATATTTCAAGTGGGATACAATTTGGCTTAAAAATGGGCCTAAAGCTTGCTTTCTATTGTTTTTCGGGGCGCTCAAGATATCCTTTGAGTTTGTAAAGCCTTTATAAATTATTTCTAAAAGTTCTTTCTTTTATAAATAAATAAATGAAGTTATTATTATATGATTAGTGTACTATCAATGTATCAAATTCAGTGCTAATTTGTTAGCTTTTTAAAGGATTAAAGTCCCTAATGATTTCTGTAACACTTCTGTCTTTTAATGTTTGTTTTATTTCTTTAATAAACCATTAAAGAATTAAGCAAAACCCGCAGTGTTTAATTTTTTAAACGATATACTTCCAAGGACTTCATAATTGCAATTTCACCTCGCAAAAGTATAGAATATAAACACTTATTGAATCAATCATCATTATTATGGTTGACCCGCATAAATTGCCTTACCAATTGAGATTTCTGATTGATCTGCTTCGGGGTTAGTCCAATTTGTATCTAACATAATTACGTCCGATTCTGATTCATATTTATATATATATATATTCCAATTGCTACTGATTCGTCGTGACAGCTGTCGGGGGCAGCCAAAGAGCTCGTCAAATCTTTCCCTTCCCCTGGACCAGCATGAAGATATCGGCTTTCCCAACAACCACTTTTTCTTTTCCTTTTTCGTTCCACTCGAGATGCATTAGTGGAGGGAATTTTCTTGTAGAATTTTCACATTTCCCCCTCGCTTGGACTCACCTGCAAATGTGATGGCTAAATGCAGGGCATTCCGTGGCAGGGTAATGGTGGCGTAGGTGGTGCCCCGTTCCGGAGCCAGTCCAGAGTCCTCCGATTGCGCCGGACTCATGGCGCGATCAACTGCAAAATTGAGAGAGGAAAGAAAGATTTGTTAGAAAATAAGCTAAACATTATCAACTCCAGATTACATTTTCCCATTTTCCTCAATCTTCTTGATCTTTATTTTTTTGCTGTGTGTAAAGATACCACATCAAAGGTGCCAGAGAGGAACTCCTACTCCTCCTCCACTGACCAAGTATTTCTGCACTTCTTGTAATTTTGTAATTTTCTCAGCCACGTTAAGGAAGGTGGAAAATGTGGGGGGAAAACTCAAACATCAAAGGGAGACACTACCATGCCATAGTGACCATATGCACTGGCGTATCCAATTCAATTCGGAGAATCCCCCAAAATACAAATCGCGACCTTCGGCGTCGCCAAAAAAGCTTCAATTAAAATTCCACAAGCGAATGAATCTCACTCGGGGAATTATAAAACCACAAAAACAGACAGTTCAGTTTTTATTTATATATATATTTCATATATATATATACATATATATACATGAACTCAATTAATCTTGTACGATGCCACCGAACACAACAACATGTGGCATGAAAAAAAACAAATAGAACCACAAACAAGACACGAGATACACCGCAGTAGAAGTGGCAGATCTCACTGGAGAAGATTTGTTTTGAGGGGAGGAAAATTGGGAATTTAAATTGAAATTGAAAATGAAATCAAAATCGGCCTATAACTTGATAAAAGACAGCACTGAATGCTTATGTGAAAAGGGCCAATTTGGCAATATTGAATCGCATAACTTTATCAACTTAAGCTGCTTTTCGGGCCACTTGAAAACAAATATGAAACTATGGAGTTATTTGTCTATATATTTTTACTAGTCGGAATGGCGAATCGATGAACTATATATATACATATATATAGCTTACATAGGAACAGTAGGTCGATTTATAGAACTATGATCAGTAATCAAATATAACCAATAATTACCAATGACCAGTAAATAACTATGAGTGGTAAGTAACTCTGAACAGTAAGTATCTATGACCAGTAAGTAAGCATGACCAGTAAGTATCTATGACCGGTAATTAACTATTATAAGAAAGTATCTATGACCATTAAGTACGTATGATCAGTAACTAACTTTGAACACTAATAAACAATGACTTGCAACTTTTTTAACACAACACATGTCTGAGACTTGGCCGGCAGAAGTCACTTCGTTCCGGGGATGTTAGAACTAGTTGGGAATCATAAGCACAGATGTGCAAGATATTTTTTTGGAACTAATTTAAGAGAATGCTATTCGAATGAAACTATGGAGTTATTTGTCTATATATTTTTACTAATATATAAGCCGGAACATGGTGAATCGGTGGACTATACACATATATATAGCTGCCATAGGAACAATCGGACGATTAATAGAACTATGATCAGTAATCAACTATAACCAGTAATTAACTATGAGTAGTAAGTAACTCTGAACAGTAAGTATCTATGACCAGTAAGTAAGTATGATCAGTAAGTATCTATGACCTGTAATTACCTATCATAAGAAATTATCTATGACCATTAAGTATGTATGATCAGGCACTATTTTTGAACACTAATAAACAATGACTTGCAACTTTTGTAACACAACACATGTCTGAGACTTGGCCGGCAGAAGTCACTTCGTTCCAGGGATGTTAGAACCAGTTGGGAATCATAAACACAGATGTGCGAGATTTGTTTTGGAACAATTGAAGAACAAGCTATTTGAATGAAACTATATAGTTATTCTTCTGTATAATTTTACTGGTATATAAGTCGGAGCATGGCGAATCGGTGGACTATATATACATATATATAGCTGACATAGGAACAATCGGAAAATTTTTATATTATAGCTTTCCCAGTTTTCAACAGATTTTCATCAAATTTCATATATAGACAGTATATATTAATCAAAAATTTGTCTGTAAAATTTCAGAAAATCGGACTACTGTATCACATAGCTGCCATACAAACGATCGTTAAAAATAGAGGAAAATGCAAAACGGTAAATGTAAAACTGTAAATAAAAATATAGGTAAATGAAATAAAAGCAGGCATTACTTCATTGTTTTTTTAAACATAAATATATATAAGTTAAATTGTAGTAATTCCTAATGGTCGAATTTTAATACTATACAAACGATACGGAATGCCAAAGTTAGCTTCCTTTCTTGTTATACCCTTGCAGGGTATTATAATTTCAGTCAGAAGTTTGCAACGCAGTGAAGGAGGCACCTCCGACTATATAAAGTATATATATTCTTGATCAGGATCAACAGCCGAGTTGATCTAGCCATGTCCGTCTGTCCGTCTGTCCGTCTGTCCTTCTGTCCGTCTGTCCGTTTCTACGCAAACTAGTCTCTCAGTTTTGAAGCTATCTGCCTTCTATATACTCTCACTCGTATATATGTCGGAACGGGCCGGATCGGACGACTATATCATATAGCTGCCATAGGAATGATCGGTAAATTTTTACAAAAAAATTTTTAACTTTTTCAGTTTTCAATAGAATTGGATTAAATTTGAGATATAGCCATTTTACTATACTCTACAAATTTGCATAAAATTTTATGAAAATCGGACTACTATATCATATAGCTCCCATAGGAACGATCGAGAAATTAATACAATTAAATTTATAACTTTTTTAGTTTTCAGCTGATTTCATCAAATTTTAGGTATAGGCATTTTATATTAGTCTTAAATTTTGTGTCAAATTTGATGAAAATCGGACTATTATATCATATAGGTGCCATACAAACGATCGTTTGATGTAGAGGAAAAATGCAAATCTTTGAATGTAAAACTGCAAATATAATATGTATAGGTGAATACAATAAAAGCAGGTATTACTTCATTGTTTTTTAACACAAATATATATCATTTATATTGTATTGTTTTTTATTCATAGAAGTTCTATCTGCAAGGGTATATAAACTTCGGCGTGCCGAAGTTAGCTTCCTTTCTTGTTTTTTGTTGAAACAATCAAATTAATTCGATATACAAAAATTACTAAACGGTAGGGAGTAATAGTAGAAAATAGAGAAAACTAATGCTGGCTGAATTATTTGCCAAAACAATAGTAAAAAAATAAAAACAAAAGACTGGTGACAAAACAACGATTATTCACTGTATTTGCTTACAATGTTGAGGTGGCTACAACCAACCCCAACCCCCCAATTATCCCCCCCCCCACTTCCTCCTCTGCCATCTTCATTCACTTTTTGTGTACTGTGTGTGTGTGGTGTGTGTGGCAATACTTTTTGTTCTTATTTCGTGTTTTGTTTTGGGGACCATGCGGCGTATACGCGATCTGCTACAATTACGCCGTGAGTGCGTAACGAGTGAATTTCCTTCGGAAAAATAAAAGAAACATATAGAGAAAAATACAACAAATACAAAAATAGTACAACACACATACACACACTTGAGGAGGCAACAACACACGTGGCAGGCAGCAGCGGCGTTTGACGCAAGCGGACGCGACTTTTATTTTCGAACGCTTCAATGGCGCATAAAGTTTTTCTTAATGCGCCCGCCCGACTATGAAAAGCAGCAACAATAATTAGGCAAAAGCCAAAAGCCCCCAAGGAAAATGGAAAAACTAACCAGAGGCCAGGGGCAGGGGCAGGGCGGGTGGAGATGCTAAAAAAACGTAGCGTTTCGCTTCATTTGTCCAACAAAACACACGCACACAATGGCATAAATAAATTTGTATAAAATCGTATACAAATATATATAACAAAATATATATGGATATATGTGTGCATATATGAGAGAGCTCATTCGCTATAATTTATTTTCATTTAATTTGTTTTCTTCGGTTTCGGCTTCTTCGGCTTTTCCTACGAAAGGTGTGCCAATTTGTCTCAGTTGTTGCACCTTTGGCTACACTGCGGAAAATTGTCAAGTTCTTTTACTCGAAAACTATTTACTCAAATCTAAAGTTCAGCTAATATAATATACTACATTTTTGAAAAAATAAATAAGCTAAGAAAGCTTGAACTTGTATTATAAAATCATATTATTAAGCTCATGTAAACTTATTCTTTAATTTCAGAAAATGTCAAAGTTTATCAAGTTTTAAGTTGTAATTAAGTTACACATTTAATTCTATAGCTTTTAATATTTTGAATATCATATTAAAATTTAAAAAAGTTAACTGCGGGCTAGGAATAAATTAAGCTAAGAAACACATAAAACGAAAAGGGAATCAACTCTTAGCTAAGCCTCTAAATCTTGATAAATCTTTCGACAATTTATATTCTTTATGATTTTATACTTCATTAAATTTATTAATAAAAAACATCCTTAAAATGTATATTTCAAATAATAAAAATAAACATTCCAAATGAAAAACTAATGATGAAGAATCATTCAGTGAGACATTTTTTACATTTTTAGTAGTTTTTCTTGCCTGTTTTTGTTTTTAATTTTGTTTAAATTGTACCTTTCCCCTCCTGTCCACAAACCTCTATTTTTCTCTCTCTTTCATCGTCTCCACTTTGATTCGCATTCGCTTTGAAGTGTTCACATTTCCCTATTTTTCCTATTTTTTGGATGCGCTTTTCATTTGCTATTTTTATATACACGCTTTTCATTTTCGGTTTGATTTCCACCGGCGAAAGGCAAAGGCGCTATTAGTTTTTCCGCTCGCTTGTTTTTTATATTTTTTTGCTGCTGCTAGTTTTGAGTTTTCTTTTCTTTTATTTTTGACATAATTCATTGGAGCAGTTGGGGCCGGCGAACGGAAATTATATGTACACGCGGTTTCATAAATAAATGTAATCAGAATTAAGCGAAAAGCGAGGAAAAACAAGGCGAGCACGAGCACGAGATGCTATGCCCTGGAAGTGCTCGACATCTTTGAGATATTTCCCATTGGAAAAGTCGGGAAAAAGCTGCAGGGAAATGTGAGGAAAAGCGGAAAGGGCCGGAATATAAAGAGCTGAGGAGGTGATGGTGGTGGGAAAACAAGTCGAAATGAGCCAAGCGCTAAATGAAATCGAAAAGAG